TGCAATATACATACATTTTAATTCGATTCAACTGTATGCAAAACAAATTATACAATTGCAGCGAAATAGGCTAGCAAATTATACAATTTAGGCCAGCAAATTATACAATTATATATGTATAGCAGATTATACAGTTTTATGTTTGCTATGGAGCGCAATTATGCAAAGTTTGTTATAGCATACAAATATAAATTTTTTGTTTGCTATATGCGAAAGTTGTCCAAAAAAAAAAGAAGGAAGAAGCTAGATGGACTTGAGCCCTTGATTTTCAGGCCCCATTGGTTTTCTTTGCATCATATGACTAGTTGACAAATATATTCTACTCTCTAATTTTATTATTTTTATTGACAATGAAATATATGAATACTTTTTAACTTATGTCAACCTATTATAAAATTTATTTTTTTTAAAAAAATAATCATATCATAATATTTATGTAATTATAAGACTTTTATAGTGTATCATATTGAATTTTTAATACACAAAATCTTGATCATGATCTTTAGATTTTTTTATTAAAGAAAAGGCTATAATTGTGTTGAATCACTATCATATTTTGTGACTTCAGACACAACCAAGAAAAATTTAATTTTGAACTTTAGATTTTATATCTCATGATGTAGGTTGATTATTTCTAATCCGATAATTTACAAAAACAAGAAGTATTATAATAATTTGTTTAGAACCTGCTAAATAAATATTATACATTGAATTTTAGATGTCTATTAAAATATAAATTAAACACTTGAAATATAAACCTCACACGATATAAACTCAATGACAATCTATATATTAATATTCCATCAAAAAAATAAATCCAGATAAAAATTTCAAAAAAACTGTTTTACACAGTAGGAGGACTATTGATCTAACATCTAAATTTATCCTAGGATTTATATGATTGATCATCTCACATGAATATATAGGACAAATAATTAATTTCAATGGGTCAACATATACCCACTCCTTGTATGAGTGTTTCTCCCTCATACGTTATGTTTAGTTTTATTATAATGGGAACATACTATAGTTATACAATAGGCCCCCCTACTCCAATAATTTTGATTTCTACTCTCATCAAATCAAAAAATTAGGCACCATGATATCACATGATTTTAATTTTCAACTACCACCACTCTTATTATTAATCAATTACACTAACAAATTGATAACTATGTCCCACTCTCCATCACCTCTTTTTCTTTTTTCGTTTTCTCCACCCCCAACTTCCATTGTAGCACATTTCACACATTTTTAAATTCTTGTCTTTTTTTTTGCTTTCTGATGTCTACTTGACCTTCACTGGTGATTAGGGTGGTTAAAATAGCTACTCTCTAAATTCATTTGTCTTATTTAAATTTAATAATGAGTAAGTTAATTTATTTTTTTATGAATTTATTTGTTCTGTTAAAATTTGACGATGAGTGAATTACTTTCTCAATGCGAATCTAGTTGTCTTATTTAGATTTTATAGCGAGTTTAAAAAATTGAAAATAATTTTATAATTTTAAAGATATAATGTGTAAAGATTAATCACATAGTTATATACCATAAAAAGAAATTGACAGTTTTTAAAAAATAAATTACAAGTGTGAAAAATTTATGTCTTACCACTTGGCCTGAGAAATAGGGAAAGGGGAAAGGAAGCAGCAGGACTCAAAAAACGAGCAGACCATGTAAGGACGCGGGGGATATGCAAGTAACCAGCAAAGTTCTCTCCTTAGAATCGACCGCAGAAAACTCGTGACTTTAATAAAAAGAAAAATTAAATTTTTTATTCTATTTGCTTGCAATACTATGCATATTAAAATTGACAAAAACTTCTAGCTCAATATAATAAAGACCGATATTTTTGGTCGCCTTCGATAGTTCACTAAAAGCAATAAATTGCATGCTGAAATTATAATTAAAACGAACGGAAACGAGTCATCCTGGCTCAATGGATATGGACAGGAATTAGGATAGTGGACTTTTAAAAAAATAGAAAAAGAAATAAACAAATACCGAATCATATTGTCCACTAGAAGAATAGGTATTCAGATGAGTAATATGAATATTGGATATCAATACCTAGTTGTATGCTTGTTAATTTTTCATGTTTCTTTTTTGTTTTTAACAATCTAAGCTTAATTATTTATTTTTTAAAAAAAATGAGAGAAAAATAGAAAAATATTAAATAAGAAAGAAAGACAAAATGTGGTAATGAAAAGTATAAAGTAAAGAATTTTATTTATCTTTTCAAGTGTGTCTTTCATAAGCGTGAATATTTTTTTAATTTTATGAAATTTACAAACGATCCATTAACCATCTTAAACCAAATGCGTTAGTAGATTTTTAAGATTTAAATTTAATATATAGAGATCATATATATATATATATATATATTAGATTGTTGATAAAAAAAAACATCCATAATTAAATAAATTTATAACAGTTTTTAGTGTATGTCTCACTTAATTATTTCTAAAGCCACAAATAATATATTATTTATATTAAAAATGAATTAGTTAAATATTTTATTTATTTTTATTCAATCTATTTTCCGCTTGTTCACGTCTGTTTTTCTTACTATATATGAATTATGATGATTTGATGCATTCATTAATACGTACATTTGTTATTTTCAGATATTTATTTTGTTGAGAGTTGGATATTTCTGAATTATATCTGGCACAGTAAATTTCAGCGTCGATGTTCTTTTTCATCGAACGGCCTATACTTAGTTTCTTAATTAAGTTAATTCAATTTTGTCAAAAAATAAAAATAAAAAATACTTTGTTTTATAATACAGAAAGAAAGACAAACGTTAGTGACATGTTAGTCCCACAAGATCCTATTTTTAGTCATAGCTCATAGGCAAAGTCCCAATCGATCCCGCTGTATTTGTGCCCACTAATATTTAATTTTCCATGTATCTTGTTCTTCATTACGAAAACTTTAGTTTTCATAATTGTAATAAAGTTTTCATGTTCTATATTTATGAAATATAAGTTCATCTGTAATAACAAATTATTATTATACCAGTATATCACTATAAAGTTATTATTTTTATTTCAAATTGTTATCTGATTTTAACTTAGATGAAATTTAAGAAAGTAAAAAATAAAAAATATTTAAGTTTTCTGATTTCAAATTAGAAATATGTGAATATATTAAATATTTAATTTTATAATATTAAATATGTTATAAAAAATTAAATAACAAAGTTACTTAAAAAAAAGAAAAAACATTATTCTTTTTAAATGACTAAAAAGTATAGTCATATTGCGGATTGCCAACAAAAAGACAAGAAATTAAACTCGATAGTTATAAAAACATATATACTATGATATATTAATAATGTGTTAGATTTAAGCTTTTTTAATTAATAAAAAATGAATATATTTTAATTTAAATATTTTTTTGTTCTTTTATAACATAAATTTCATGGGGAAATGAGTTTTTGTTTCTTTATATAATAACAAATAAACAATTAACTATAATTTAAACATGAAATAATAAGTGTATAACAATTACTTGATATAATAATAAACAAAATATTCAAATATATAATGTCATTGTTTATTAAAAAAAAATAGAAATTTATATTCACCACTGACCAGCATGATATCACAATTTGCGCAATTAATTATGGGTAGGTGAAAAAGTGGCACCAATTATTGAGGGTTGTAGATCGATTTTTATTTGACACGAGGAATATATTTATCTTAATTACATGTCTATAAAGTGTTCTTTCACGAAATTACTGCATCTTTAATTATTTATTAACTTTTGAATTATTACTTACATTAAAAAATAATAATTAATATAAAAAAATTTATTATTTTATTTCTATTAATTATAAAGTGAATAAATTAAAAAGTTAATATTTTTTAAGAATTCTATTTTTTAGAGTAATTAAATAAGAATATGATAAAAAATTAATTTTTTCTTAATTTATCAAATAAATAAATAATTAGAATGATTATAAAAAAATAATGAACAAATAATTAATGAGAGAGGAAATAGTAAATTAGAGCAGTTTGTCCATTCAATAACAGCAAAAGAGTTGCTTGTCCTTTTCTTGTAATTCGAAGTCACCCAAACAATGTTTTATTTCTTAAAAGATATTTTGGAATATTTTACTCATTAGTCGTTTGGTTGTTGGGAAATTTAATTTCAGTGCAGAGAAACCATATGAAGTAATGCAGTAATTAAATACTTTTTTTAAAATAAAAATATAAATCACGTGTAAAATTTTAAGAATATAATATTTAAAATTTATTTATATAAATACAAGCCCATACTCTAAAGATTGAGAATGGGGTATTTTATCTGTACAGTATTAATAAGGGATTTAGTGTAATTTTATAATTAAAGCTCAATTTCATAAAGTCATTTTTGATAGATTTGGTGCTTACAATAAAGAATATCCAAAAGTCTGAAAAGGAAAATTGAGAGAGGAAAGGAGCAACAACACTGAAATAACATGAAATGAAGGAGCAATAAACAATATACAAAGGAAAGAAGAACAAAAGAAAAGGTTTTTAAGTAACAGAATCGTTAATGACCAATTAATTTTTTAATCCTGATTCGCAATTTTAAATATCATATCCAAGGTTACGAGATCTTCGCTGTGTTATGTCTTGTCAAATCATCTTTATGATATATACTCATCTCTCAACTTGTCCATCATATAAATCATTCCTATTTTATTCTGATATTTTCATTTCTAATATTATTTTTTCTTATACGTCCATGTGTCATATTGATTTTTTTAATTTAATGATATGATAAATATATTAAAATATTTTTTAATGTTTAATATGTCCTCCATAAAATTATAAGAGGATAACTTTTACTAGAATGTGGTTCCATTATGGTTGAACCTATTAGTCTATTGCAATATAATATGCTAAAGTCTATCCTAATTAGTGAACATGCTTAACTTGTCGTCTTAAAGTTGACCACAACGATTCCATATGTCTTAATCAAGTCCTCCTGTTTCCTTTACCGTAATTATTTGTCTAATTCATAATTCATAATAGAGACCTGACAAGAAGATTCATTTCATCTTTCCATCTTCCACATATCTCTATCTCCATTAATGCACTACAACACTACATTTTCTAGCTGCTTCATCTGATTCTGTTATATTTTCCTCTGTTTTTTCTGCTCGCCGGAAAGTATGGCGGATGAGTTTGCATCGTCGGTAGATATGGGGCTTCAGTTAACTAAACGGATTTACTACGGTAAAAATCCGCCGAAGCCACTTGTAATGGAGAAAAAATCATCTGAGATTAATAACTTGCCGACGGCACCTATGGTGTACGCCGTCGTTAGGGACCCATCGATGGTGGATAATCCTGATATTCCGAGCTATCAACCGTATGTTCACGGCCGTTGTGATCCGCCGGCGTTGATTCCGCTTGACATGCAGGGGATCGCAATGGAGGTTGATTGTTATATGGATACTGCTTTTGTAACGGTCAACGGAACTTGGCGTGTGCACTGTATTGCTTCTAGTCGATATTGCGATTGTCGAATCGCTGTACCAATGGGAGAGCAGGTTTTGTTTCTCTATCTGAATAGCCGCTCACAGATTTACTTGTTTACTTTTTCTACTTCATGCAAATAATACTGATATTTTAGTTTAATCAGTTGTCTGGACGGCTATTTGGGTCACTAATCTTTATCTCTTAAACATAACATAGTGAACTATAAGCTTAGCTTCATGGAGAGACGAGCATTTAAAGAATATTAGTAGTAACTATGGTTTTTCCGTCTTTCTTTTCTTAAGCTAACATTTGTAGCAAAAGATTGTATATTTGCATTAATTCGTACTCAAAAGAAAGGAACAAAAAGCAGACAGACAACAATACCCCACATTTTCTCTTTTGATATGCACACATCAGTTGGAAGGTTTGTAGACTTTTAGTTGTCTGAGATATCTTGATGGCCTAAAGTAAACAAGTTAATTTCCTCATTGGTCAGAATCATGTCTGCGCTGAATAAGCTGGCCTATCAACAAGATTACTCTGTCATACTCCGAATTATAGGCATTGAAGTAACGGAGAGAAAGAGTCAAAGAAAAAAGAATGGCATATACTTATATGGATAATTGGAAGGTGGCAACTTATATATAGCTATGGAAATTTTACATTTCCATACCCTTACCTTTCCAATATACGAGATATTTGTGTCCTCCCAACTGATTTAATATTTATGTCATTCCAAATGTTTACATGACTTAGACATGTCATTAAAACAAACTAAACGAATATATGATATAAGCATTTGACTGTATAGTTTAAGTTTTGATTAGTGTAGCATACGATGTTTGTCATTCTGTTATTCTTAAAATACTATCATTTGTCTAACACAGGGTTCAGTTCTAGGTGTGGAGATTGAAACACCATCAAGATCGTATTCCACCTTATTGATTGAATCAAATGATACCAAAGATGCCGGTTTAGTAGCCAATGCTAAAGATGGCTTCTTACTAAATCGCCGGATATACACATTAAAGGTCCCTCAGGTGACTACCATCTCACACAACCAAATTGATTATCTATCTTTTCTTCATTCCTGTTGAGTTTCAAGAAAGGGGCTATATTTGTCTACTTTTGGATCTTTCAAGGTTGCTGGAGGTTCTATTCTCTCCGTTAAAGTCAGTTGGTCACAGAAAATACTGTATCAAGATGGTCAATTTTCCTTTAGTATACCTTTCAGTTTCCCGTGGTATGTCAATCCAATTGCAAAACTATTGTGCAAGAAAGAGAGGATTCGGTTGAACGTGAACTCTGGTATGGGGAAAGAGATCATATGCGGAAGTTGCAGTCATCCTTTAAAGGTGAACATTTTTTAACCTATCTAGTCATGAATATAACAATTGATAACTTTTTTTTTAAAACCCTTTTTGTTATTCTTCCCAGGAAACAAGACGTTTGGTTGGTACTTTAGGATTTTTATATGAGAGTGAAGTTCGGGCATGGTCAATGGATGACTTCAGTTTCTCCTACAAAGTAAGACCACTTCCGGTTGGACCTGCTTTATGAAGTACTCTTTGTTTTTATTGATCATTTATTTTGATGAGCTTCAGAAATCGTCTCTTATAGTTGCATAATATCTTTAGGTTCATTCAAGTGAGATCCTTGGGAGTGTGCTCCTGAACTCTGTGTCTATGCTTGATGTTGATCAAAGAGAAATGTTTTGCTTCAATCTATACCCACCGGCTGTCAATACAATGAAGGTTTGTTAGCCTTGTTACTTAATGGTTTGAATGCTACCCAGATTTTGATCAAAATGTAATTTTAACCTGTGATCCTTGTTGGACTACACATGTTCAACTTAGTGTTGTTCTTGATGTTGTCATACATATTAAGCTAAGATCCAGCCGAACCAGGTTAAGCCTGCCAAATCAGAAAAATAGGCGATAATTGTCAATATACAAATGCAGCTTTTGAAACATCTAAACTGCCTTATAATCAATTTATGTTTACTTTTGCATATGTCAAATTGTCAATATACAAATGCAACTTTTGAATTTATTTACCTGTTTGTTATCTCTCTTAGGTACTTAAATGGCATATGTACTCCCTTTTGTTGATTTTTAGGTTTTCAGGAAGGAAGTGGTATATGTTGTTGATATAAGTGCGAGCATGCAAGGGAGGCCACTTGAGAATATTAAGTCTGCACTACTGGCTGCCCTCTCTAAACTCAGTCCAGCAGATACTTTTAACATCATAGCTTTCAACGGGAAAAGCTTATTGTTCTCATCATCCCTGATGCTGTCAGGGAAGGAGTCAATTGGAAAAGCAACTCAGTGGATTGACCAAAATTTCGTAGCTGAGGGAAGTACTGACATTTCACTGCCTCTGAACCAGGTTAGAAATGTTACTTTTCTTTACTATGTACTGGTATGATGCTGCTTATTATTTTCCAAAGACAAGTATCGTGTGGAAAGCAAAATTAAGTAGAACTTCAGTTTTGGTCCTTCTAAACTCAGTGACAAAACATTTCTGTTCTTTTGAACTATAATTATGTGTAGAAGATACATGTGATAAATTGAATAATTAGTTCATGTGGGTGTGATGCATCATTATGTTGATTAGCTCTAACTATTTGACCGTTCTATTCCTTCTATTTTCCAATTTTTAGTTGCACCAGCCATGTATTATTATGTTGATTTACTTGGCAAAAGAAAATGCAGCATTATGTTGATGTCACATTTTTTTGGCGCATTTACCTAAGTCTCATAATCTGTCCTTGCAAATTCATCCAAGTCAGGCAATAGAGATGCTATCGAAAAATGGTGATTCAATTCCTCTTGTTTTTCTAATTACCGACGGGTCTGTTGGAGATGAAAGAGAAATTTGTGAAGCCTTGAGAGGAAGGTTGATGAAGAGCGGTTTGAATTCTCCGCGAATTTCGACCTTCGGCATTGGTGCGTTTGTTTTTCTTTGACATTTTTAATGACATTTCTCTCCCATGCTTCAATAGCGATTTTCAATACTATATTTATGTCTCTCAGGTTTATACTGTAATCACTACTTCTTGCAAATGCTTGCTCAAATCGGAAGAGGTTACTATGATGCTGCATATGATTTAGGTGCGCTTAATTTAACAATTATGCATCTTAGTATTTCTGTTTAATACGATGCAATTAAGTGCATGTAGCTTGTAAGAATTTGTTTTTCTGCCCAAGTTTCAACAACCTATTCAGAAACTCTCTGATGGTTACTGAACTGTTGTAAAAAAAGCCATTCATAGACTTATTTTACATTTGAGTTTTTTACTCTCTATCTAGGATAACACACTTTAGAATGGAAATCACTATGAATGGGATTACTTTCATATCTTCCAAAGCCGAAAAAGTTATTAGAGTATTATTTAACTTCTATTTAACACCACATCAGATTGGCAGAAGTTTGAATTGCGAGTTATGATTTTAGTTCTTCACATCAATTTCCATGGTCAGATTCAATCAGTTCTCGGCTGGAAAGACTACTTAATGGGACATCATCGGTTATTCTCGCAGACCTGAAAATCGAAGCTCTGGAAAGTCTTGATTCATTTGAGGTATATACACCTTCAGATTCCTTATGTATTCTGAGTAGAGATAAGGATGTACAAAGCAGCATAAGTAGCTGAATATACCCGTTGTTGCCTTCCAAAATATCACGGCTTCATAAAACTTCCACTAAATGATACACTGCTTAATTATTTTTCTTTTCCCGTGTATAGTTATGATATAAAGTGTAATATGTGCCTTTATTTTTATTTTCCTCTGCTGCTTGTCTGACAATTGTAATCAATGTTCTTATTGCAGCTATATCCATGTTATCTGCCGGACCTGTTGTCTTCAAGACCACTGATTGTCTCTGGCAGATTCATCGGGACCTGCCCTGGTTCTGTTAAAGTTAGTGGCACGCTAGCAGATTTGAGCAGTTTTGTGGTCAATGTCAAAGTACAAAAAGCAAAGGATCTTCCTTTGGAAAGAGTAAGGTCTTTCATCTTGTATTCCTTACTGAAATGTTAATTTGATTTACTTATGCTGAGGAGAAAGTCAAAGAAAAAGTACAGTGTGTATGTGGTGCTCCATCTTTACCTGGATTCTGTTCTACGCGTTTTCTCTACAGGTTGATTCTATGAACTATCTAGCATTCTTATTCCCCGTATTAATCAAACAGATATCACGTTCGTATTTTTTTTGGTCTGTGCATGCTTACATGAACCTTGCTGGAAAAGTAGAAATCTGCACTCTTCTACCATTAGAACTTATGCTTGTTCCCTTTATGCAGGTTTTTGCAAAGAGACAAATTGAAACAATAACTGGGAATGCCTGGTTTTCCGGAAGCAAGCAACTAGAGGAGATGGTCTGTTCTAATGAATCTTAATTCTTATAGTGCTGCATAAAGAAGTTCCATACATAATCGCGTGATTGCAAATCTTTATAACATTAAGAGATTTATATTCGTTATACGCCAGTCCCTTGCACTAATGTTACTTCTACGACTGAAAATGATGATTATTTTTCCTTTTATGGTAATTGTGCTCACTTAAACTACGTATCTGCTTCTAGGTTGCGAAATTGAGCTTGCAAACTGGGGTGCCTTCAGAGTACACCAACTTGATTTTGGTTGAAAATTTAAAGGAGAAGCAGACGTCTAAATTAGAGACAGTAGATGAGGTATGTGGTTTGGTTGGTTTGTCAATGTACTAGGTTAACTGTCTTTAAAATTAGAGAAAATCATCTGATGAGGTTTTAACACTATCCATCTTTTGTTATTTTTTATTCGCGTGCATCACTTCCTTAAAGTAAAATTTGTGCATTTGTATGCAAAACATGCATACCAAATACAAATTTGGAGTCTAAGGATTAGAGTTTTTGTACAATGCTCGGAAGATCTACTTTGTACATTAAATGTATTGGTATAACGTAGATAAGTGCATTAAATTACGTCTGATTCATAAACTTTATATTGACCTGTATGAGGTAATTATATCTAGACATATACTTGTGTTAAATATAGACTATAGAATTCTTATGCTTGTGGAACTTCAAAAATACATTTGTTCAAACAACAGTAATGCACTCTTTTAAGCTTACAAGCGGAATTTGTTGATGAAAATAAAAGCTCTCGTATTGATTGATAGAAGGCCTCTGATCAGTTGAATGTCAAGAAGATCATATACCTTCGAGCACTCGGTGTTGGTTTTGGGAACTTGAAGGCAACTGCAGACAATCTTCCTGTGGAAGCAGCAGAACCTAAGTTGCATGAAACATCAGAAATGGTATTTGCCGCTGCTTCAAACTTATGTGGCAAATTATGTGACTTTTGCTGTTGCATGTGTTTCATACAGTTCTGCTCTCGGGTTAGTGATCAATGTGCTGTGACATTAGCACAAATCTGTACAGCGCTCGCTTGTTTTGAGTGTATTAGTTTTTGTTGTGAAGTATGTGGAGACTGTGGCTAATATATTACCACAGATGTAGCAGAAATTAAATATGGTTAGACTGTCACGCTATTTATATGTATAGTTGTATTCAGATGCGGACCCACACCATATGGTGGGGGTGCACGTGCACCTTGTAACTTTTAAAAAAATTATATGTATATATGTATATCTATTTTGAAAAACTGGTAGAAATTAAGATATAGGTAACAGTGCATCCATAAAAAGCATAAAAGTGTCCTAGTGCAGTAGGTAAAAGCTAGAGTTACCAATTTCTTGACCACTCTAGATGCAGTGAACTTCTTGTAATAAAATTTAGAGGAAATAAAATATGGAAGCTTGAGAGCACTCACTTACGAGTTATTATAATTTGTCTATCGATTTAACTTATATAATTGACATTGTATCTGTTATATATATATCTACATGTCATAAAAGATAACACTGAAAATCTTTCTTTTATACCAAATGTCATGTTTTTATCCATGGTGAAATGTGTGAATATAGTTCATAATGCACATCAGCATAGTTTCATGTTTGTGTATTTTTTTTTTAATTTTAATAAAAAGATATATCTTATTCACCAACATTAGCTTATTTCTAAAAGCAAACGATTAATTTGGAAAGAAATATCCAATAACTTCTTGTCTAGCCAACTAGTAATTATATTTATATCAATATTTAAATTTTTATATTCCCTTATATTTTAAAATTTTATATTTCTTTCAAGTATGAGTTAAAATCCACAAAGAAAAATGTATGACATGGATCTCGGTTGGGCCATCTCGAATGGCGGGAGTCGTATGCGGGGAGACCCGCACGTACAGGATCTTGTTGAAAAATCGACTTTCAAATGAAATAAGCTACTATAATTTTCTTTGTCGTCAAAGGAAAAGTGAACTTCATCAATGGTAGCACTAGCCATTTCTTCTTCAGTTTGAGAATTTGCCTTTTTATTGCTTGAGGCCTGAGCGACTCACTTCGTTGATTTGACTTCACATCACTTTAAATGTTAATAAATTCATTAACTCCGTCATCATTTTATTTTATATCCTAATATTGAAAAATAACAATTCTTTCACGATGAGACATTACAATAGAAAGTAATTTAAGATCAAATATTCCTTTTGTGGCATACCACGCTGTTGTGACAAAGGGCGGAGCTACTCTTGTCCGAGGGGTGTTTAATGAATCCCCTTCGTATGAAAATTACGTTGTATAAATATGTTTAATTTAAATAATTATTAAAATTCTTAATCAATAACAAATCAAATTAAAAATCAAGTGATGACTTATCATGCTATTTGACGAGGGGCAGAGGAGCTATCCTTGTTCAAGAGATATTATACAACACTACTTTGCTAAAAAGATTAGTTTATATAAATATATTATATTTTGATTGATGATTGCATAAACTATGAATCTTAAACGGAAAATAAAAAAAGAAGCAAGAAGTAAGAGAGACCCCAAAATTTTTTAAGGGGTGAACTATAAATAAATTTACAAAAGTAGGCCGGGTAGTTCTCAATAATAAGAATCGGAAAGAGCAGTAAAGCGTATGACTCCCCCAAAATTTTGGGGATAGGCCGAATTTAGGGTTCCTCCCGATCTGAGCAACCAAAAGTCAACAAATTTTTTTTTTCAAACTTCTCTCAGATTTAGGGGCTTTGGAGTTTTTTCTATTTCTTGATTTAGCGCTAGAATTAGGATTTTAGTTTATGTGTTCTCAGTGAAGCGGCGAAGCTTTTGTTAGGGCACTGTAAAGCGGGTAATCGGATCTGCCAATGCAAATTGAATTGAAATCTCAAGAAGTTTCGGTGATTTTTGGGATACCGAAAGCGTTAAACTGAAAGCAAATCAATGTCTTGGGCAAGTCCAGAAGATATCTATACCTCCACTTCTCTTGCAAGTTATCTCGACAGTGAGTTTTTCTTCATTTCTTTATACATTATATGTTAAAGAAAGCTTTATATGTTAAGTGCTATTAAAGTTCTCTAGTAGTTTTGGTGTTCAAAATCTAGTCTTGCTATACTTCCGAGGTTCTTTTGGGCTGAATGGTATTGGATTGTTTCTTCTTATTTATTTTAATTGAACACATATGGTTGTCTGTTTGTATCTAGTAATCTTGCGTTGATTCCTGAATTCTGATCATAGTACATTAGTTTAACATTGAGATGTAAATGTTTTTTCATGTATGGGGAGAGAGAATACCTAGAAGATGTTGGTTGCATTATGAGAAAAAGTTGAAAGTGCACATCTTTTTTGGGTTCAAAAGATAAATTTCAGCTTCAATTTGTTGTCTCTTTTTGACTTGATATGAAGTTTGGAGAAGTAAAAAGATTTTTTTTTGAATGTTGTAATCTTTAACTAAAGATACGTGGAATGTACCATAATGTCCTATCGTGTAGTATTAAACATGGCACGTGGAAAAATAGAATAAGGAGTCGCCAAAAAAGAAAAGAGAAATTCTTTTTGAAAATTAAGACAAATAAATTGAACCAATGAAGTATATCTTATTTATAACACTGGTAGATTTTCTCAAAAGTTGTTAATACAAAAGGAGGAAAAATCAACTATTTTAAGCCTTTACAAGTCTAAATCTTAACCTTGTTATCCTTCTGGGTGGCCTAGTAGTTTGGGCTTGGAACTTCCATGTTGGAGGTCTCAAGTTCGAAACCCTTTATAAGCGAAAGCAAGAGGTTTACCTGCTGGGTTGAGCTTGACACACCTAGTGCGGGCTACCTCTCCTATGTGGTTTGCGAGCTATTGCATAGGAGCTGGGGTTTGACCCTTTGCGCTACGCTGCTGTAGGTTTCTCTTGTCATAAAAAAAATAAATCTGAACCTTTTTTTGCTAAGCCAACTGCAACCATGTTGCGTTCCCTGTAGACGTGCTTTATGGGAGATGTCCGATGTATACTCCATAATGACTAAAGTGCTGATTTTTCACTGAATTCATATATTGCGCGGGAAGAGGAGTGCTTCCTTCTTTTAAGGCGGAATAGATCTTTTCTACTGCTGCAGGGGTCAAAGAGCCACAATAATTGTTTGTGTTTCCTTCTAGTGACAACTCAAAATGAAAGCCTTAATGATAAAAGAAAGTTGCTGCCAAGCCCAAGTCACTTGTATATTTGAGTGCCTGAGTACCACTTTTTTTTTCCTGAGAATTAAAGGCGCATTCAAGCACTCAATTATACAAAGGCTTGCGCTTGAAACCCTACCTTATTCAGCAAAATCAACTTTCTTAGTAAGTCTTGTTGTTATCTTGACATTTGTGCAAATTGTAGAAAATACATGGTTCACAATTTGTTTTTTTGCACCCTAGGGTGTGATTAGGTCAATGAAGTATGTGCAGACTTTGGAGGCCAAAGTTCAATATCCAATAGAAACAATAAATATTAGGTGATTTTTACCCTTCTAGTTAAGTCTCTGCGAGCAACTGAGCATAGTTATCCAATGGTTTACTGGTGGGAGGTAGTAGAAAGTACCTAGTTGAGTAGCTGAGGTGAGAGCAAGCTGGCGTGGAATCTACCGGTATAAAAAAATGAGTTTCACCCTTTCTTCGGATGCTCCTGTGTTCTTGTCTTGGCTGCTTGAATGATAGAAACCACGATTATTATGGGTATATATGGTCACTATTTCCTTCTAGAGGAAGCTATGATACTACTTATTCAACCAAAGAGGCATGTTCCTGTAAACTGAAGAATTAGTATTTCCGTCTCTTGAGCAATTAGTTAATGCGTTACAATGGTGCTTGATTAATTTTTTTATATATATATATGTATAGGAATTGTAGCGAGTGTTATAAAGGTTGGCACCCACAATAGCATACTGACTGCTGATCAGTTGGTCAACTGACAGGCTGCCACACCCAACACTGGTTTGAATACCCTGAAATACAATTTGTGTTCTTCTTCTTTTTTCTTCCCTTTTTGCCTTTTCCTTTACTTCTCTTCTTTCTTTCTTTATTTGTTTGCTTTTTAGTTTTTATTTTCGTATTTAAACTCTTCATCCTTTGCCACCCATCTATTAGTTTATTTATCTTAATTATTTCTTCTTCTTTTTTTCTTCAAAATGTCCAAATATTAAGTGGATGTGATTTTATTCTTTTTCCCCTTTTATCCTTTCAAAGTACATTTTGTCTATTTTTATTCTTCGTTTCTCTTTACCAATTTTTTTTATTATTCGTTTCTTAATCTTTTAAACGAAAGCAATAGAGTCAAGGGTCGTTTTGTGCTAGTTTATTAGCTTCTTTTTGTTGGTTATCATGATTTATCATTTAAGTATCTTATGATTAAGGAGGGGTGCGATGGCGTATTCAAAATTTTTTAGTTTTCTTGTACCTCATTTTGCAGCAGAATTTGGTTGAATCATATAAAATTCATTTTGATTAGATAATCATATACTTATTTGTGTACCAAAATATTTGTGAATCAACCCATATTAGCTCAAAATGGACTGAATTGGATGAGTGTATGCCCAAAGTTAATGTCCATCACTAAGTTTACATTAAATGCAGTGGCATCCTCAACCTTAAATCCTAGATTTGCCTCTGATAGGAGCTAATGCTATAATACGTGGGGTGCCTGGTACTAAAAGAAATAATTGGGGCACTACTTTTTCTTATATATAAGTCCATGTGCTATTAGATTGATAGCAATAACTTAACCTGTTTATTGATTTACTGGATCTATTTCTTGCTTTTCTGACTCGACTTATTGTCCCTCTCAGAGAAACTTCTTGTGCTGTTGCGAGATGGGCGAAAGCTTTTAGGAATACTTCGTTCTTTTGACCAATTTGGTAGGTTTTCTCCTGTCATTACTTTCTATTTCATGGCCGTGGTTGACCACCTGACAAAAATTCCATCTGTTATTTGTAGCTAATGCTGTTCTTGAAAGTGCATGTGAGCGTGCTATTGTTGGTGATCTATATTGTGATATCCCATTAGGTCTCTATATTATACGTGGGGAAAATGTTGTGTTAATTGGTGAACTGGTATGTCTTGATTTCTCTCTCAATACAAAAGTTCTGTGCTATCCCCATAATTGTATATCCTTGGGCTAATACAATGTTGTAATTATTTGTCAGGACGTGGATAAGGAGGAGCTTCCTCCCCATATGACACGTGTTTCAGAAGCTGAGATAAGAAGGGTAAGATCCTGTTATTATTAGTCTCACTCTTTCAGATGCTTAATGAACTTGTTGCAAGTGCATGACTTGTGAAGTTTGGGGTGTAGGGCAACTTTTATTGGAAAGACTATAAATTGGTGAATGTATAGTCGGAAGGAAAAAAAGCTGTAGGTATTTTGCAAAGTTTTGGACATTTAGGGATGAAAAGTTAATTTTTGATAAA